CAGCAAACATTCTACACGAAAACAACCACACCATATGAAATCAAAAATAGACCACAGATTGACTGCACGAATGTAAGGGTCTGCGTTCCATCTTCTCGACGCGAAACCTGACCACTTATTCCTGTTTGAAACTGGTATTGATTTGTCTATCCTTGTGCAGGAACTCGCAATCACGGACGAATCACACTTAATAGTAAAACATAATGATCGAAATTATCTCGGCCACGATATTAAGGACAGGTTCCCATGTGGCTGAGATCCCAAAACGAGGAAACTAATCCTCCGTATATGCACTTCCGAGTGGCACTTGTCCACAATACCAATTGCTCCTACATTTTGTATCGCCTTCAGGTCACGGAATTGTTCGACTAAATAACTGAGACGATTTAAAATAACCTGCCTGAGTATGTCTTAGCTGGCTTTCACATTTGTGATGAATTAAATATTCACCATTCTGCCCTGAAAGGTGATTCACTAAAGTTTTAACCCCCACCCCAGGATCACTTCGGATCCTTCACTAGTCCGTATCAAACCAAAGGCACGTCCTGATATTGCATTTCTTAGAACGATTTTACGATGCAGGAAAGCGGACTGCGAGAACATCAGAAACGGATGCTAGTCTCTTAGCCTTCTTCAAACTCATTGATACCGAAAATGCACCCTCATCTAGAAATGGTTCGTTTCTAAAATGGAGAGTTTTATACACCCCCAAAAATTCCAGAAAAAAATCGAACACCCAGCCACTATAACAACTACTACAATATCTACATATTTACAGGGAACAGCACTGTCTCCCATTCAGGAACATGTGAAAGGGACATTGACCCCCCTCGTAAAAGTGCTCATTTGTTTGGCCTTCGGAACCTTTCAACAAACATGGACTCTCCCTCAGAACAAAATTTGCAATTTTCTGCACTGTTGTCATCTACACCTTGTTCTACACTTTGGGAGATATATTGTATTGAATGGATCTGCAAGAGCTTGAAAAATTCCAACAGGCCAAGCTCCAGCATATCCTCAACATAAAATGGCAGCCGCCATCCTTAAACATTACCTAAATTGGTCAGGTCATGTCACTACATTGTTTAAAGTTCTTCAATGTCAAACTACATCGCGGAGCCCCTCAAAACAGATTCAAAGACCAAGTATTCCCTCCTTCAAGCCGTAATTAACCTAGGAAATAGAAATCAACGGCCGTCCATCCCCGCGAAGAACAATTCACTTCCGTTCTATTTTTGAGTAGAGGAGAAATACTGAAGAGCAAGTAAAAAGAAGACAATGCAAGTTCCGGAACCTTCAGCCAAGACCATCACCAAACCAACTATGTGACCATTGCCCAGTACTGTTCTCCAGAGCCATATCGGGATGAAGCATCGTGAAAGCACTGAATGTACCAATCTCTACACGAGTGGTGATGACGACGAAATGGAATGGTGTAGTAGAGCACTTGTTGAATACCAAATAGTTCGTAGTCATTTCCAAATGCAAAGTGTAGCCATGCACAAACAGTCCAGACTAAGGAGAAAAGCAAACAACTTGGATCTCGGATGTTGTGGATAACCTCTAACCAACTTCTGAATAAAGGCAAAACATCACTGCCTACGATCATAAATGGCCTTGATCCGATAAGGAAAGTCTCTTTAGCACGTTTTTTTGCCGTTATATGAAAGCCACTTCCCAACGCCCCGCCTCACAGAAATATCTCGGTATTATTTTTATCTCATCTCAGGAAGTCTCAAGGCTTAGCAAAATCTTGACCCTAAGGAGATTACCTGTCTAGATAATATGCCAGAAGTTTTCAATAAAATATTAACCCTGAGTTATCCCGCGAAACTATTTAAACAATATTTCAAGTGGAAATCCTTCCTAAGTCAGTGAAACTTATTAAGTGTATGTTCTGTTTTTGTAAAAAATGCAGGCAAGCGCTTATCCCCATCTCAGTATAGACCCATTAGCACCTTCAGTAATAATAGCAAACGTTAGGAGTCTATAATCAACATTAGGTTCTTGATATTCTCTACAGGGACAATCTACTGAGCGATAAGCACCACGGGTTTCGATTGTCTTGGTTCACTACTGATATCCTGTCATTACTCACAAAATCGGTGTGACATTAGCCAACAAATACATATCAAGAGCGATCAAATGAGATATTTAGAGGTCTTTGGCATAAGGGATTGTTGCAAAACCTCAGTAGCTATCAGTTGAAGAGAATTATCAATCCCTTCCTAACAGGTAGGCCTATGGAATTCCTTGTTAACAGCTAGTCCTCTGAGATCCAATCCACTTTCAATTTTATGACTGTTTTCTAGCCAAGGGTATACTCCGATCAATTGTGTATGACTATGCTGATGGTACAACAGTATATGAAGGCGCCATCAAAACTCTAGATGACCAGATATTGGCAACTGATCTCTCCTCTGATCTAGCTCTAACAGCTCAGTGGCTGGTCACAATCAACGCCTCGCAAACCAAACTAATTCCAGCATCACCGCGCGAAACCTTAATTTTCACCGATCGCGATGAACGGATATTCCCTCATGGTGGACCGTGCTATAAATGCCTGTATCGACTTAAGCTCGTATAAGTCGTGCATTAGATCCATCGCTAGAAAAATTAATCGGTTCCTCCTATCATCTAACTTTCCTAGAGAGAGACGAAGCCGAAAAGGGATTAGTGGTGACATACATGGACAGCAGATGCCCAAACTTCACGTTCCAGTCCAAAAAGCTTCTCCTCGGTTTTTTTCGATAATGAAATATATACCAGCCTACAACTCCTTTCCCGCAGACGTCTACGAGAAAGGAGTTGTAAAGATCTCGCTGGTCTATCACTATTGCCATGAAAAGAGTTCAGACGAACAAAATTCTTTAGTCTCACCAGTTCTAACCACAGCTAAGGCCCACCATACCGAGCATATTCTCAATCATTTCGTATTTTATTGTTCAGATGTAAGTTCTAATTGAGAAGCTTTTTCCCACTAATTGCTGCATTGGGGGACCAACTCCCAAGATGATGCTTCCCCAATCACTGAAATCTCAACCTTATCTCTAGAGATATCTATTATCTTCTCCACATATCCCCATAAACTCTGGTTCATAAACTGTAAACGTCTACCTCTTCTATAGGGTGAACATTATTTTATCTTATTTTAAATTTTATATATAAATTTCTCCACCTGTTTAATACCCGTGATCATGTCGAGGTCGAGTGTCAAGTTAATGGATAGTTTATATAGACAAGAGGGGAGCATAACGGCTAACTCGAGACTTGAACAGGTTAAGATTGCAGTGATCGGGGAAACACCCTCTTGGGAGTCTGTTCCACCGAGCAGTGGTTCGAGGGAAGAAGCTGTTCGAGTTGAACTTATTTCTCGCGGATGGAATACTGAGACAATGTATGTGGTTTGCTACTTTGTAAGTGGCATATTTATCGATAAATATGCTAATAATAATAGTACTTAACTTATATTAAGTCCCTAAACTATTTACTTAAAAAATTTCTATCAAGCATTGAAATCTATCTTTTACATAATTTTGTTAAAACAAAATTACAGCCTTTTCGATTCACTTCCCTCTCCCCGACTCTCTTTGCCGTAACACTCATTTAGATATATCTGTATTACTGTCGTCTGTCTCCACTCTTTTTTCCTTTTCTTTTCTCCCCTCCCATTCCTACATATTATTTCCGTTAAGTTAGCCATCTAAATAGGTCAAGGTTCGGTCACTCCTCCTACCCCAATATAAAGCATGCTTAAGAGAGATATGAAATTAACCCCTCCCTATACTCTACCTTGTCTCTTTACCTACCACTCTCACCCCCACCCCCTGTTAAATTACAAAAATTACACTACCTATCAATTTCTAATCCCATTTTTCCTTTCATTTCGTTGTTTGAAGTGTTATCTGATGATCAGGAGTCCTTTAAAAGGATTTTGGTGAAATAAATTATTGTAATGGTACCTTAAAGTGGTCTGTTTTTCATTATATATATATATATATATATATATATATATATATATATATATATTTATATATGTGTTTGTGTGTGTGTGTGTATACATACATATACATAAGTTCGAAATGCAACTTAAGTTTCGTTGTTCTCCAGACTCATTAAGCAATTATTATTAATTATAAATAATAATTGCTGCCTGATGAGTTAGTAGAACAACGAACCATAATCTGCTCTTTAAACATAGGTATATGTATATTAATTAATATATTTCTTAGCTCTCGCTAACCATATTGAGCACTGATTTGTTTACACTTTAAAGTAAATTTAGTAAATATTGTTTGCTTACCTGTGTATCCACGGTAATGCGCACATATACGGTTGTTAATATCTAGTTATTTTATTTACCCATTTTATAACACATACTAAATATATATATATATATATATATATATATATATATATATATATATATATATATAGTATGTGATTATTTAATATATATATATATATATATATATATATATATATATATATGTATGTATGTTTGTGTGAGAGTGTTTTTGATCAAACTTTAACAATTTGTGGTCACGTCAATAGTAGAAAAAACTAATAAAAGGTGATGGAAGACTGAACATCGAAATATCTATTACTTTCTATATATATATATATATATATATATATATATATATATATATATATATATATATATATATATAGGGGGCGTCTACATGATATTTGTGTTAGTGTATATGTAGGCGCTTCTTTGTGTGTACACAGATGATCGTTATGTTGTCTCGTTTCTTTTTAATATGAGTATACCGATGCCCATCAGATCGATCTGCTTACTAATGGCCTGTAGGAATTGCGTGTTCGATTCACCTCTGCGAGGCCCGCTCTAAAATTATCTAATGTACCCGGCCTCATTTTAGAAGAGTTACGAAGAACAACTGACGAGCAGGAAACGTCTATCTTATGAAATGACAGGCCAGGCTAAATCAGATAATAATATCAGAAATATGACTTCTAGTCTCGCAATATCGCCTATGATTAAATCTGAAGAGAGGCTATCTATCTCTATCTATCTATCTATCTATCTATCTATCTATCTATCTATCTATCTCACGGCGTTCATTATCTATCTATCTATCTATCTATCTATCTATCTATCTATATATATATATATATATATATATGTATATATATATATATATATATATATATATATATATATATATATATATATATAAAAATTTGGAAAAAAACAAACAAAAATTCTTAAATGCAATTATATTTGTTTAAAATGAATGAAATGTCGACGTCTGACGTTTCGGACATCGACATTTCATTCATTTTTAAACAAATTATAATTGCATTAAGAATTTTTATTTGTTTTTTCCAAATTTTCTTCATTCTATCATCTATATCCATTTTACATTTGCTTACACACACACACACACACACAAAACACACACACAGATATATATATATATATATCAGTCTGTTTCGTTCTATTTATCTATCTATCTCAAGCCGTTCATTATCTATCTATCTATCTATTCTATCTATCTATCTATCTATCTATCTCAAGTCAACATTATCTATCTATCTATCTATCTATCTATCTATCTATCTCAAGCCGTTCACTATCTATCTATCTATCTATCTATCTATCTATCTATCTATCTATCTATCTATCTATCTATCTATCTCAAGCCGTTCATTATCTATCTATCTATCTATCTATCTATTTATCTATCTATCTATCTATCTATCTATCTATCTATCTATCTATCTATCCTTGTCTTCTATTATCTACTGTTTAAATCTCACCGCGATCCGATCTCCCCCTCAGTTTATTTCTTCTTTCCTCCTTCCTCGCTTCCGTTCTTTCTTTCTTTGTTCTTTCTGCCAATCAATTTGTTTCAATATGTCTGGTTCTTATGTTACTCCATTAAAACTTTCTCTCTAACATAGATTGGTTAATGGGAATGAATATTGACCATTGAGATGAAGAAAATGTATTTATTTTTGGTCATATCTTTTGACCCGAATATTTTCTATTCATATCCATCCACAGTCTGACCCTTTTCATTTTGGAGCATATGCAAATACCTGCGGATAATCGTAAATTTACATATATACAAATCAATATTTGTCTATTTCTATCTTTCCTTTTCAAACCCAGGGTGTGTTTGTTCTCCATTAAACTATAATTTATGATATGGTAAGGGTTATTTGAATCATTAACTATTCATTTATAAATCAAAATTCATCATTCGTTGACCGAACAGCCAACCTCAATTCCGTTTATTATTTTTTTTAATATTTATCTAAAAAATAATTTTAGAAAATGAGTTTTAACTGTTATCACTCTTTCCATTACTGATTGATATTTCCTTCCTAACCTTTTGTTTGATGTAATGTGGGACATCAACATTTTGATTATGTCATTATTATATTTTTATGTACTGTCCATTTTAGTTGCTGCTATTGAAAGTTATTCATTCATGCGGTTTCTCTTATTTTTACAGTTTTATGTTAGTTAATCTGTAGCGCCAGTCCACGAGCTTTGAAGAATTATAATCTTCGCTGACATCTACAGATTTCATTATCTCAAAGAGACATTTTAACCATTGATCCGTGAAAGTTTCAGTGCATTTGACGCCATGCATAACAGCCATATGGAAATCCCGGAAGCTTTTCTAAAAACTACTACTAATATGGTCTTTCCGATGTTAAATTCCAGTATATCCTATAATAAATTCGTTGAAGATGATCTATACATCGAGGTGATTAAAGTGTTTCGTATTTGATAATTCTATAAGTATCTGTCTATATTTCTATGATGAGGTATTATGTACACTATTTACATCATTTGGACTATTGTTTTCTTCTTTCAAAGATGAGGAAAATAGTCTGAATAATGTAAATACCTCATCTCAGAAATATAGACAGATACAGAAAGACCGAAACGTTGTAATAAATATGGCGACAAAGATGAGGACAATAGTCCGAATAATGTAAATAGTGTTCTAATTCCATATTCTGAAATGTTTATGATGGATTCAGGTTATATACTAATATATATTCTATTCCAGTTCCAGATAATAGTTTCTTTTTTGGAAATGTTTATATTCAATCATATTTCTTGGAACTCTTACGATAGGATATTGATTTTCTGTTCCCAACTAACAATACCTAAATTCATCATCATCATCATCATCATCATCATCATCATCATCAGCAGCAGCAGCAGCACCACCACCACCACCACCACCACAGTCATCATAAGTACCTTGGCCTTGGGCGGGATAGCAGAATCGTCTTTTTTATATTGATAGATTCGTTTCGTATGTTCTATAGAATGCTTAAATGGTCATTGCCCATCTTTTCAACTTTGTAAATATTCTAGGAAAGAAATAGATTATCCCTTCTCGTAGTATTCTTGTTAAGGTTTTGGATATTTCCTTTTTCAAATACTCGCCAGATATGTATGATTTTTGCACTGGTGTATTTCTTCTATCAAATCGAGACATTCAGTTAAATCAGAACTTGGAAAAAGTTTTCTAATGTATGAGAAAGTCTCTGTGGATTTGTTCATGTGCTTCTGCAAGGTCAACATATCAGCTATAAAAGTTTCTATTGGAGAGGTAGGCAATTTCTATTGGAGAAGTAAGGCAATTTCTATTGGAGAGGTAAGGCAGTTTCTATTGGAGAGGTAGGCAATTTCTATTGGAGAGGTAGGCAATTTCCTGGCGTTATTTCATTGCATATGCGCCATCATCATTTATAATCTGACTGTCATAAAATGATGAGAGCTAGTTAATAAAATATCTATTTGTACTTTCGCCATAATTAATCCAATTGGATACTTCCTTTTGTGTGTGAATCTTGAATGCAATCTTTTTGTTTCCATAGGGCAATAATGCGTGATAAACCGAGCTGTTTGGTATGCGTTCCTGTTCAAGAATTCTTTCAGGAAATTGGAAAAGTGTTTATTGAATTCGAGAAGAACGTAAGCTATTTTCAAAAGTTCAGCTCCAATGTCAAATGAAGCTTTATTATTTTTATAGCCTTTTTTAACTTTCACGTCATAGATTTCTTATTGTTTAAGTTTGGAAACTGATCTTGTAATGATGTAATGTATATTGTTGTGTACTCATTCTCCGCAGGCATCATCAGTTTAGTGTGATCAGGGTGGAAATTTTAATCAAAGTGATTTTTGGAGATCAGGATATTTCTTCTCTTTCCTTTTCGATTATATGACATCGTCAAGCTCTTTTACTTTTCTTCGTATTTCAACACTTTTGTCAACGCTGTCTATGCTGTTTGGCTTTATGTATTTGCTTTCGAATTCTTCCGAAATATTGGTTCCTTGGGACATTTTTGATTAATTCCTTTGTCAATCGTTTAGTATTCTCCCATTTTTTCAATAGTGTTTCTATCTTTTATCAATCTATTCAAAACAGGATAGTTATCCTTCAGGAGATTTTGTTTCGGTCGATGTCTTCTTGGAATAATCTCACGTACTTCGACTATCGAAGATATGGTTATATTATCTGATTCCTCTATGATATTTCAATCAAGACTGAGGAACATCAATTTGATCTCTAGTTCATCACCGTATTCTGCTTTCATTTTTAACAGCTTCAATGTTATACCTAAGTGTCTATTCGTGTTTTTTTGGATGCGAGCTATTTCGTTGCTTGCTAATTTCATTTTTTCTTATATGTAGTCTGTGATCAGATACAAAATAAGAGTTGTATAACCAAAAGTATGTCACAAACTAGCTGGCCCAGTATTCCGAGATGATAAAGTTAATAAAACTTTTGGTTGTTATCAGGCTTAAGTCATGTGATCCTGTGTTTCTTGGATTGCTTTAGCGATGATTTCAGGATGGAATAAGTTTTTGAATGAAAATACAATCAACAAGAGTTCACTGTTGTTTTTTGAGATTCATCTTTCATCGGGTGACACCATCAAAAGAGCAGCCGGGTTAATCATAAAAGAAGCATGATTCAAATTTTTGTTCTCGTACAAAGTTTAGTTCATTCTGTGAAGAATTTCTCTTTTACCAAAACAACCCGTTTTCCCGTTGCGGCACCAATTGATGTCAATATGATTTTGCTGCCACAAACACCTATGATGGCAGCCATCAGTTGTTCTGACTTAAGATATTCTCTATTACAATATCTAATGATTTCCGTATTGCAATTCTAACCCAAAGTTGTCGTCTCCTTCAGGCCAGTCAAAAATAAATTCTATCTCAAATGCACAATGGAGTCACAAACAAGTCGACACACCTCTTGCATAGAGACAGCATCAACATTTATATTTATGCATTGTTCTAAAATTAAATGTACTCTGAGACCGTCTGATACTGACTGGATATTAATTTGGCCGAATTTCAATTTTAAGAATTATTTTTTTTTAAGTTTACTGTTCTTAGGCGATGTAGTTGTTGATAAGTCAAGTGACTGACAAGACATTTCTATACCGGTAGCAGAATTTTCGAATTCTGATGTGTTACCGACAGAAGCGTCCCTTTGTAATGCACCTGACGCATTATATGGTATTCAGTTAGATATATGTTTACCCTTTATTAAAACAGACACATTTTGGAGTATCAGTTCTAACCAAACTAAATTATTTTGCAGCGCTTTTAGTAAGAAAAGTAACTTACATAAACCGCAGTGCCAACCTGTTGTCCCGGAAGGTTTATCTAATTATCGAAATATTTACTCATATTTGTGTGGGTCTGAGTTATGTTAGATTTTAGTGGATTAGGCAACATCTCAGAATTCTATGTTATTTAGTATTGGATATAGTATGCGAGTATGGTATAGGAAGCACGGCGGATAGCGGCTCGGATTGAGGAATCGGAGAGCCGAGTTCGAATTCCAGTCAAATCCATTACATTCACTTAGGTGCTAATAACCTTGGAAAAGGTATGAACCATCTTCTTCTCCACACAACTGTGGGTAAATAGCAGTATAGACTGGAATCTATAGCCTTGGATGGCAACTTGTCTACTGCAGAAACAAATGGCAACCAACTGCTGGAAAATCTGCCTCGTCAGTCATGTATCGAAAGATACATGGTCACCTAATCAAGGAATCAAGCATGGCACATAACTGACTGATACTAGTTGGTAGGAAATGAGAAATGAACCCACGACAAATTAGTAATGGCTAACCGAGTAAACTATAATATTTATTATTTCATATATTAGAGTGTATACTCCATATTTGATTTAGACTCACCATTTTTCTTTAATAAACACTGTCACTTACGTCTATCGGTCAGTGCATTCTAGAAATTTTACTAAAGATGAATTTCCCGGTAGTTTCGATGCGTTTATTTGAAATTGAGAATCTACTATAATAATTTTTGATGAAATGAAAAAAAAAACAGATTAAAATAAATCCAAGAAAAAAAAAACAGATTAAAATAAATCCAAGAAATGCTTATAAGATTATATAGAATATAAATGACTATATTTGTAACAAAATCTAGCCGTATAGTTTGAAGATTACATCAATACATTTGATATTGTACGGCAGAAAAAAAAACCTAACTGAACCGCTAGGTATATTCTAATGAGATGGGAAAAAAAGATTAGGCTAAGCTGCAATATTTACGGGGAAGAATAGGAAACGCGTTAAACAATGGTACGAAAGATAATAAAAAATGTTTTTCATCGGATTTGTTTAATCTATAAAGAATCTTAAACTTTATTTAACCTATAAAGCGTCTTAAACCTTCAAAATGGTCTCCAAGAATTGCTTCTTAATTAATAAATACCCATCCGGCTTTCAACCTAGTTATGTGGGCGTAACCGGTTAGGTGTTCAGTTGAGCTGCGACCCTATGACCACATCATTTCATAGAACTAATGATGATGATAAACATGAGAATCTCTTATTAACGCGCAATCTTTGATTATTGCTGACTTTCTAAAAAGCTATATTTTGC